GACTGCTTGACAGCTGACAGATAGACAGGCGCTCTTCGGAGGGAATCGAGCGCCTGTAGTTGGTGTCAATGGCGGGCGATGCGAGTTCCTATGCAGTTGAGCAGGTTAATCAAACTGGGAAAGTGACATGCGGAAGTACCTCTGAAAGCAAAACTCATCCATACGCAGCTCCTGGAGTAAAAGGTGAAAGTCACCAAACACTGCACGCCTAAATAAAGACACGCTGCTCTCTGGGAATCCGTCATTGTCTCTGGACTACCGGCGATAGAGAAGCTCCTCCCAATGCGCGTCACAGATAACACCAAAATGACACGCGTCAATTTCAAAATTGCAGCTCAATAAACGGGCGTCACAGGCGTTTTGATGCATTTGGTGTGAACTTGCCATTACAATAATTGTTAATTTACACAAAAAAGTATATATAAGTCATCAAGCCACGGCGACCGTACACTTTTTCACTGCATGAAAAGTGTGATTTCCGTCCCCATAAACGCCCGGAGATCTCCCACATTTTCGGTAGTTGATTGCAATTTGCAACCTGCGCTTGTCGCCGTTTGTCTGTGCCCCTAATTAGTATATGAATGCAGCGAAACCGCGGCTGGCCAGGCCTAGTGTGATTTCTATCACTAGGTCCGTTGTGCAGACGCCTATTTTGTGTGGCTCTGTACTTCCGCGTCGCCTCTAACCAGGACTGTAATTTTCATCATAGGTTCACTTCAATTGTGAGAGACAGATTTTTTTGTGAAAAAAAAATCCGGGAATTCACATTGTAGGATTTTTGAAGAATTTATTTGTAAATTATTGTCGAAAATAAGTATTTGGTCAATAGCAAAAATTCAACTCAATACCTTGTAATATAACCTTTGTTGGCAATAACAGCGGTCAAACGATTACTGTAGGTCTTTACCAGGTTTGCACACACAGTAGCTGGTATTTTGGCCCATTCCTCCATGCAGATCTTCTCGAGAGCAGTGATGTCTTGGGGCTGTCGCCGAGCAACACGGACTGTCAACTCCCTCCACAGATTTACAATGAGGTTGTGGTCTGGAGACTGGCTAGGCCACTCGAGGACTATGCTTCCTACGGAGCCACTCTTTCGTTGCCCGGGCAGTGTGTTTGGGATCATTGTCATGCTGGAAGACCCAGCCACATTTCATCTTCAAAGCTCTCACTGATGGAAGGAGGTCTTGGCTCAAAATCTCACGATACATGGCCCCATTCATTCTTTCCTTAACACGGATCAGTCGTCCTGTCCCCTTAGCAGAAAAATAGCCCCAAAGCATGACGTTTCCACCCCCATGCTTCACAGTAGGTATGGTGTTCTTGGGATGCAACTCAGTATTCTTCTTCCTCCAAACACGACGAGTCGAGTTCTACTTTGGAGACAGTTCTACTTTGGTTTCATCTGACCACATGACATTCTCCCAATCCTCTGCTGTATCATCCATGTGCTCTCTGGCAAACTTCCGACTGGGCTGGACATGCACTGGCTTCAGCAGGGGGACACGTCTGGCACTGCAGGATTTGATTCCCTGTCGTCGTAGTAGGTTACTAATGGTTCCCTTTGTTAATTTGGTCCCAGCTCTCTGCAGGTCATTCACCAGGTCCCCCCGTGTGGTTCTGGGATTTTTGATCACCGTTCTCATGATAATTTTGACCCCACGGGATGAGATCTTGCGTGGAGCCCCAGATCGAGGGAGATTATCAGTGGTCTTGTATGTCTTCCATTTTCTGATAATTGCTCCCACAGTTGATTTGTTCACACCAAGCTGCTTGCCTATTGTAGATTCACTCTTCCCAGTCTGGTGCAGGTCTACAATTCTTTTCCTGATGTCCTTCGACAGCTCTTTGGTCTTGGCCATAGTGGAGTTTGGAGTCTGACAGTTTGAGGCTGAGGACAGGTGTCTTTTATACAGATAACGAGTTCAAACAGGTGCCATTATTACTGGTAACGAGTGGAGGACAGATGAGCTTCTTAAAGAAGAAGTTACAGTTCACGCTGGAGAGACCCACGACACAAAAATGCAATTTTAAGTATTTTATTAAAGCATGTTTGGCGGCCTAGGCCCCGGAGCGGTGCTGTTGAGCGCTGTGCTTGCTCGCGCGCATAGAGATCCCCCCAGGGCCTAGGCACTGGTGGCGGCAGAGGCAGCAGGCAAGCACGCTCAATTGAGAGAAGGAGGAGGTGGGGCGGCGGAGGATGCATTGCGAACAGGTGCGTTAGCGACATACACGATGCAGACTTGAGAAGGCCGGGAAGTGGGCGTCTCCGGCTTTTTACACGCTGGCCTTACGGTTATTGGTTGACTAGAAGTGGGTTTTGCTGTGCGATGAGCCGAGGATGAGAGCAGGCCTGGAGGAGCTGGGCAGCAGCAGCCGGGTCTACCAGTGTGAACTTGCGCGAAGCTTCATTTCACGTTGGAGAGACCCATGACACAAAAATGCAATTTTAAGTATTTTACTTAATTGCTGTTGAGCGCGGCGCTTGCTCGCGCGCATAGAGATCCCCCAAAGATGCGGGACTGCAATGGGATAGCAGGACGCGCTGCGCAGGCCTGAGAGCATGAGTGCGAGGCTTCTCTGCACGGTTGCTGAGCCAGGCTGCGTCTGATGGGAGCAAAAGTGAAGCAGGAAGTTTAAGCAGGATAGTTGGTGAGCACCTGCGAGCGTGGGTGCGAGCAGCTCAGCACGCTTGCTTTGGAGAGCATGAGTGCAAGTCCAGCTCAGCACTGCTTTGGCTGGGCTGCAACTGTAGAGCAGAATAGAGCAGAAATAGCAGAAAATAGCAGAGGCGATGCGAGCTTGAGAGCGCGGGCGCAAGACAGCTCAGCACGCACGCTCCGGGGAGCGCGAGCGCGAGTCCAGCTCAGCACGGTTGCTCAGCCAGGCTGCACCTGTTGCAGCAGAGAGATAGCGGGGCAGCAGAAGGATAGCGGGGCCTGAGCGAGCTGAGAACATGAGCACGGGGCAGCAGGGTGCATCATGTTCAGCCAGACGCTGCAGCGGGAGCTGGGGAATCCCTGAGCGATGCTAAGAACATGAGCACGGGGCTGCTCAGCACCCACTCCGGGGTGCGAGTCCAGCTCGGTGCATCATGTTCAGCCAGACGCTGCAAAAAGCTAAGGAGCAGATGAAATCCCTGAGCGATGCTGAGAACATGAGCGCGGGCCTGCTCAACACCCACTCCGGGGAGTAGAGTGCGAGTCCAGCTCTGTGCATCATATTCAGCCAGACGCTGCAAAGCTGGGGCATGCAGGGGAATCTTTGAGCGAGCTGAGAACATGAGCGCATGCATCATGTTCAGCCCCCGGGGGACACCACACACGAAGAGAAATCGGGCCAAAACAATCCAACATGTTGGATATCCCCAATATTGAGATCGGAGCAGTCCCGAAGTCCTTCCGAGCGACGAGCACAGTCTTAAGACACCACACACGGCAGGAAAATCCATCAGATTTTTTTTTAACGATATTTGGAGCGTTCTTACGATTGTCGTAGGGGTAAATCGGGTCCAAAATCGGACCTAATTATACTGCCGTGTGAACCAGGCTTAAGCTTTAGCTGACTCACTGCTGCGACACAAATGGCCGCTACGACCATAGCAGTTGATATTTCACGCCTCAAGCTTACAAACAAAACAGAACAGACTACAAAGCTGGGCTGATGCTTGTTTCTAAAGCAGCCGTTAGCAAGGTTAGCCCCAGGCTAGCGGAAGCACAGCAAACTTCAAAATCTATAACGTCTCAACTACTTTTGCAGCGAGTGGCTGAGTGTAAGTCTAGCGTTGTATTGTGCACAGCATTTTCCTAAATTTTATGTCACTTTCGTAGCCCTACCACTTGCCATCTCTGACCCCCGATGCTAAAACTACTGTTAGGATTAGATAGCGATTTGGCCTACGTGCAGGACTGTACAAGGACTCTGATAATGACTCCATGTTTTGACTATGATTTGCACTGTCTCTGTGTGACATGTATGTCTTTCGATGTGTGACGTGACAATGACTATATAAACTGTGTACTGACTTCCAGAGTTTGGCGCACCACGATCCGTCTCTGTCTGGTTCATTCCTGACACTACCATAGCAGCGCTGGAGCCCGACATTGTCACATCTGCGTTTAATATAAAGAACTGTTATCAAACACGTAGCGTCTATTACATGTCATGCTAATTTTATGTCTCCTTTTCAATACTTACGAATTCCCTTAGTTGTTTTGTCTTATCCCAGAAATGAAAAGGCAGACAGTCACGGTGGCAACGTCTGTAGAGTGAGTGATGTGATTTATTTGGTTGGGACAGTACATATTAATGACCACATCATTCCGGATTGTAGCCATGGGATAATTTCCATCCGTTGTCCCACATTCACACTCACAAACACACACTCATTCACCCTGAACAATTGCGCATGTTTTTAGTGGTAGGGGAAACCGGAGTATGCGGAGAAAACCTACGCAGACACAGGGAGAACATGCAAACTCCACTCAGAAAGGCCCTGTTTCGACCGGGATTCGAACCCAGAACCATCTTTCTGAGAGGCAAGAGGGCTATCCACTCAGCCACTCACTGCTTAACATTATTATTTCAAACCAGTGTCATGCAAAAGTAGTATAAATAGCTCGTCAAAAACATATGAGATTAAGCAATGACAACTAAACAGTTTGAGCTTTTACAAAATCCGGGTTTACAGTGTGCGGACTGGCTAAAAGTTGTGGATTGCGTCACTTGGGGTGAAACTCCCCCTGCAACCCTGATTTGCTTTTGTATTGCTCACAGCATTTTCAGTTACATGTTAAAGCCTCCCTTAGAATTTGGAAGAGGGGGGTCATGGGGGGACAACTGCCAAGCAAAGGCCCACGTCAATTTCTGACAATTCATGGCAGTTTTTGGCGTTGCCTGCAAATGACCATGAACAGCCGTTGACCTGAACTTTCACGACAATCTACAGTGCCGCATAGTGACAGAAATCACACTTTTCATGCAGTGGTTGTTGTTTCTAGGTCCGAGATGGAGCCATGAGCAGTCTGGTGGAGATCTACAGGCACGTGGGCGAGAGAGTGAGACTGGACTTGAGTAAGAAGGGCCTCCCACAGTCACGGTACAGTCACACCTTTGAAAAATTATATATACATTCTAACATTTAAAGCTGGGGCATGTAAAAGAATTTTCACCATAAATAGCATGTTAATTTGTCCCAACAGAGAGAATATTAGAAAACATGGTATATTTTGTATGCTTGTAAGCAATAGCCCTGTGAGTTACTGTTTGACTCTTTGGGCTGAGAGGTCCTTTGTTTTTACTTTTATCTGAATAAGATGATTTAAAGATGTGATAGAACCAACCTGTTTTGAGAGCAACAAACTAGTGACATGGATCTTATTCCATGGTTATATTTCTGTGGTTCGAAAGTTTGGTTGGGGCGCCTTCTAGTGGCTACATTCTGTTGGTTTTTACAAAACCTAGTTATGTAAACTATAATCTTCATTCATTTATCTTCCTCCGCTTAGTCCATTTCTGCTGAAGTTGGAAATGTTATACTTAATTCTTGATTCTTTATTTTGCTAAAGTTACAGATTTTATTTTATTTTAGTATAGAATTATTTCTCAATAATATTTTGTTGTGTGCTCCTCAATCCTACTGTTCTGTAACTGGTGAATTTCCCCCCCTGTGGGACAAATAAAGGATCTCTTAATCTTAATCAATTGAGCCACTGTCACCCCTAAACTACATACTTAGCAAATAAAACATATACAATCTATTGTTTTTTTCAATTTTATTGTTCGGTCATTAGTACAATAAATATCACCAAATATATAGTTTATTTGGTGATAAACAAAATTATTTGAATATGGTTAAATGGCGTTTGACAGCTGTGTGTTTTAACCAAATTACAGTTAATGTCGCTGGATAACAAGGGTCTGAGTGGTTAGCACTCAGCAAAACGATCCGGGGGTTGAATCCTGGTTGCAAACAGGGCCTATGTTTTAACCAAATTACAGTTAATGTCGCTGGAAAACAAGGGTCTGAGTGGTTAGCACTTAGCACAACGATCCGGTGGTTGAATCCTGGTTGCAAACAGGGCCTTTCTGAGTGGAACAATCTGGTTGTCCTGATCCTGAGTCATCTGGAACTGGGTCCTGAGTGCCTGACAGAGGCCCTAGCAGCAATGATGGATGAACTTATTTTTATTATATAAATTTTTTTGTGTGCAAATGTTATGCCAGTTTTCTGATTTTTAACAATTTATAATTCCTAGTTGTAGAGGAGGATGTTGTGGATGTAACCACGCAACAATCCTGGGTCAACTATAAAACATTGTTCGACAAAAATATGAGAAAATCCACAGAGGTGCTCTGTGATGTCAGGCAAACTATGGCTCTAGAGCCAGATGCTGCTCTTTAGATGATTGTGCCTGGCTCTGAGACAAATCTTATTAAGATTAGGATTAAGAATGTTTTATGTATTAGATTTCTTCAGTATAAATAAAAGATTTAATAAAATAATACATTCTGAGAATTAATATTACTCTATAAATGTGTTGAGTATGGGGTAAGGTTACTGTCAATAAAGACGTGCATGTCTAAAAAAATGCGTGCATATTTATTGGTATTTGTGCATAATTTATTTGTATTAATTCATGAGTAAGATAATACAAACTAAAAAGACATGGAATTTTGTAATTAAGAATAAAAAAATATCAAACTGTATGTGTGATTTTGTACTTGTGAATACGATTTTTTTTGTGTGCTTGCATTTTCTTTTTGAGAATACGAATTTCAGCAGTGAGCAAACTGTCAATAATACGTCACTGCTCACAGACATTAACAATCGAGCCTGCGCAGAGTTGATCACTGCAGAGGGCAACAACATTAACAATTTGGCTCAAAATCAGGTAAATAACTATATTTGATCATTTTGGTCGTAAATAAATGTGTACGAAATATTAATTCCATAAAATGTGTTCATAAGATGTTTCTTGTCCCTCTCTAGAAACGTTATTTTGGCAGTGTTCAGTTAACACTAGCTTCAAGGCTAGTTTTACAGCTTACCATGTTATTTTAAAACCAACATTTTTACATTCTTAGCAGTTACATTTGATGAAGCCTTTGCCCCGAATCAATGTGGTTAATGTGTTGATACCAGCCCCAACCCTCCAGATTATTCATAGTTCGCGCTGTTACTGCCCCTGAGCATTATGAAGAACACCTCCGTGCTATACTCATCCTTGGTTGTTAGGCGTAGCAGACCCTGTCCCTGTGGGCCTCAATCTTATATTTGTGAGTACATTTGACACATTACTTTTACTCACTAGTTCAGTAACGAGAGTTATGACTGTAACTACGGTTCTATGAATCCTGGATGACCGCCAGAGGCGGTGCTTTAAGCACTGAATGATCATCTTTGAGCATGCGCAGTTCGAGAATTAAATGACAACAAAGTCACTTGTGACCTCCTCGTGACCCCCGTGAGTCTATATAGGTCACGTGACACGAGAGCCCAGCCCCTTTTCACCTCGCAAGCAGACCGTGGCCCTGAGGGACTGGACGCTCTGGCGGTCATCTAGGATTCATAGAACCGTAGTTACAGTCGTAACTCTCGTTCTATTTCATCCTTCCTGACCGCCTGCAACAGCTCCGGGGTCCTCAATATCCGAAACGATAGCGTCTTGATGAACACATTGAGGCCCGAAGGTCCAAAACCGGACGCAAGTCGCCAGTTTTCTTCGGAGCTAGAAAATAAATCAAATAAAAGCCCCCTGGGTCCAGCAGGGGGTCCACAGGCACTATAGCCTCCTTGTCCAGCAAGGTGGCAATCTCTACGGACAGTGCCAGTGTCCTGGCCCGGTCGTGGATCACAGTCCACCTGACGGGGCCAGGGACCGCAGGCCGACGGTGGAACTGGAGAGTGTACCCCCGGGAGAGCGTGCCCAACACCCAGAGGTCTGAGGTGTGAGCGGTCCAGTAGTCCAACTGCTCCCGGGTAAAATAACCCACCGTCAGCGGCCTGACCTCATCTCCGCGCCCCCCGTGGCCTGGAGACCCCGGGGGGGGCGCCCAAGAGCCCGTGCGTTCTGGGGAGGCCGCCGGGTAGAAGGCCGAAATCCCCTATGGTCAGGCGGAGGGACACCTGGTGGCCGCGAACCCCTAGGAAAGGGCTGTGGAACACCATACACCCGCGGAGTAGCAGCAGGAGGGGCAACCCGTGGAGAGGCCCGCCGGTGCAGACAAACCAGCTGGTCACGCGTCCGGGTGGCCTGCGCCGTGCGCTCCAGCGCCTGAAGCGCAGCCGCACCAAAGAGCTCCCCCGGAAGCACCGGAACACTCCGTAGAGTCCTCCTACAGGGCTCAGTGAGGGGTGACTGTGCCAACCACACCTGCCGACGTGTCTGAGTCAGGGTCGACAGCAGGCGGCCCAGTTCCCGCGACATAAGGGCAAAAGCGTGGAGGGACGCATCCAACAGTCCCTGGGTCGGGGCATCGACTGTAGAAACCTCCAATGCGTTCGAAAGGCCCAGTAACAAATGGGAAAGAGAGTTCCCCATGCGCCCCATTCGCGCCCCAGTATCGTACGCCCGACACAGCAGCTCATCTGTGAGGCGACACTGGGGGTTAGGGCACCTCTCATCCGACCGGAGGGCCTCCTCCGGCGAAACAATCAAGGAGGCCACCGCCGGCTCGACGGGCGGCATGTGGCCCAAGCCAAATTGGGGGGCATCCTGCATTGAAGCCAAAGCCCGGCCATCGGACGTCAGTCTGGACATAGCCTTTGTATCCGTCCAGCATGCATGTAACTCCTTCACGTACTCCATCGAAGGAGGCACAGAGACAGAGGGAAGGGGCCGCTGTCGCTTAAAGAAGGCGCTACCAGACGGCACAGTTCCCTGCGGGACATCAAGCCCCAAGTGGGCGAGTGCAGAGCGGACGGCAGAGGAAGCCCCACTCTCCTCTCCGTCCAGGCACCCCGTGGACGCCAAGGAACCAGCGTCAGAGGCCCTGGAATCGACCTCCTCAGGGTCAAGACGAAAATGAGTGTCAGATGCAGCCACAGACATCACATCGTCCTCCCACAACGGGGCCAGGTCCGGCACAGGAGGGCCCAGCACATGTTCCCCCGAAACCGGACGAACACCTTGCAGAAGTGCCTTCATTTGGGCCATCTCGGACGCAAGGTGGTCCATCCGTGCAGACAACCCTGCAGGCACCCTACGCTTCCTCTGCGGAGCCGAGGAAGCAGTGGACACAGCCGCACGCTTAGACCCAGAGGGCTGGGCAGCAGGCGGCAGGCAGGGCGGCACCTCCGAAGAGCCCTCATCCGGATCCAGGGCCGCCAGGCGGTCCACGCGCACAGAGTGTGGCAGTACCGCACAATTGGAGCAGGCGTCCACCGTCAGGCCCTGTCTCAAATGCCCAATACCCAGGCACGCAGGGCAGAGGTCATGGCCATCCTCGTGGGGCATCGGTGCCATGCACCCACGGCAGCCCAGCGACTTGTGCATAACGAGAGTGCCTGAACTGGTGGAGCAATGTAAGCAGAGTCGGGTCGAGCTGAAAACGCCACAGACGACTCAAGCACACAGAGATACCCAAACTACTGAACAGAGAGCGAACAGTCTAACTGTTGGTAAAGAAAAACAAATGTTAGCATAAACTGAAAACAGAAGAGCTAACGGAAGTGTACAAACACACAATGTGGGCCAACGAAAGAGTCCGGTGGGGCAGAGAACGCCACACTCGCCTCCACAACCAGAGCAATATCAACAACCTGAACAGAAATCGAACAGTATAACTGCTGATATAAAATACGCCAGTACAAACTGAAAACAGAAGACTAGACGGAATAATGCACACTCGCACCCAACGTGGGCCAAGTAAAGAGTGTGGCAGAGGACACCACCCACGGCTCCCCAAACAGAGCAAAAGTAACACACTGAACAGAGGACGAACAGTATAACTGCTGATAGATGAAACAAAACGCTAGTACACACTGAAAACAGGAGACTAGACGAATTGTACACACAAACACAACGTGGTCGGGGCAGGGAACGCCACACACGACTCAATTAACACCGGCCAAACAGAGCATAAACACAAACTGAACAGAAAACGAACAGTATAACTGTGGATAGCAAACGTCAGCTCACTCCGAAAACGGAAAGCTGAAACTAAGAATCACACGCACACACGTGGACAGAACTCACCGGTGAGCCGGCGGAGTTTGCACAGCCCCTGAGGGGCGAGATCCACCCGCTGCCTCGACGCGAGTCACGGAGCTGATGTGCAAGCAGGACGTATGTGGTAGGTAGGAAGCTCAAACACACACGCACAACTCAAACCTGCGCTGCGAGAAGAAGAAAAGAGGCTGGGCTCTCGTGTCACGTGACCTATATAGACTCACGGGGGTCACGAGGAGGTCACAAGTGACTTTGTTGTCATTTAATTCTCGAACTGCGCATGCTCAAAGATGATCATTCAGTGCTTAAAGCACCGCCTCTGGCGGTCAGGAAGGATGAAATAGAACGCTAGTTAGTATGTTGTTTAGATGCATTATTTTCTGTAGAATAAAACAATATAAGGATAAGAAAATAAAACTAGCATTGGAGCTAACAACACTGCCAAAAAACCTTTTAGAGGGACAAGAAACATCTTCTTATGAACACATTTATGGAATTAATATTTCTTACACATTCATTTACAACCAAAATGATAAAATATAGTTATATACCTGATTTTGAGCCACTTTATTTATGATGTTATTTTTATGCACAAATACCAATAAATATGCACGCATTTTTTATTGACAGTAACCTTACCCCATAGTTGAGCTTGTTTTAAGAAATCACATATATTCACAGTAAAAAGAAAATATTTATGGCTCTCACTAAAATACATTTTACAATTTCAGACTTTTTTGGCTCTCTCAGCTAAAAAGATTCCCTACCTCTAGTGGGAGAAAAAGTGTGTGTGTGTTAGTTCAAGTTTATTTTTGTCATATACACATTCATTATTAATAATTTCTTAAATAATTGCATCACAATGCAAACTTTGTCCCTTGCTGGGTGTGTGAACTTTCAAGCACAAATATTGATGTATCAGACTACTGTCAACAACAGTAGTAACAACCCACTCACCCCAAACCATGATAATCTTTCCATTATCCTTTCTGATCATGGAAATGTTTGAATAAATTGAAAAAAACGTGTTACTTGATACTTGTACAACTATGCATTTTCATGAAAAAAATAAAAATAACCTAACAACTGCCCTCTCCAATACTACGTATTGGCTCGGGTTAAATATCTGGTCAAAAAAATGTAAACCTCCATTTTCTAATAATAACACTACGACACCTGTGGTCATTTCCATATGCCTCTCCCTGCGGTCACCCATGCCAGCTCATCACCAGTGGACTTTGATTATTTCTGGTCACAACCTCCTTATTCCATTCACATGCCCTGAATAATTAAATTCAATTTATTTTTTCATAGAGGGGCTTTTAAGCAGCTCTGCTTGTGTACAAGTCTTTCCATGGCCTTGCACCAAAGTACTAGCCTGATTCTCGCCAGACCCTTGACTGGGATCGACGCCAATGCAAACTCCTTTAGGCAATCAAAAAATAATCAGCCAATCAGGATCACTGGTGTAACGTTGGGTTTGCACCGCCTTCTCGTGCAGTTTAAATAAAGTTTAAATACCAACAAAGACACAGATGTCACTTTTAATGCAATTTAAGGCGAGATGTTGATGGTTCCATGTTGTTATATGTGTGTTTTAAGAGTAAAATATTTGTATAAAGTTTGGTTTAAGTACTGGTTAAGTACTGTGCTCCTGTCACAACACTACGCGGCAGGGTTGCCAGGTTGGGTGGTTTCCCGCATACTTGTAGGTAATAAATAGACAGAAAGACAATAAATAGATTGATAGCCCAAGTTGATTGCATTACGTTTTTGCCAAAACATCATTCGGGGTGGTTTTTTTTGGCATTCTTGCGGGTTTTGGGCTGGAAAATCTTTCCAACATTTGGCAACCCTGCAACGCAGTGAGGAGTCGTGAGCGGGATCAGGTGCTTCGATGTGAGTGGTTGAAGGAACATTCAAGATAACAAACAAATGGTTTATCTAATCACATACAAGGATCTTTCACAAGGACCTGCCTTCTAAAATTCATCTGTATGAAGGAGACCCAGACCTTGTGTGAAGCTCAGCGAACTACAAGGGTCTGGCGAGAGTCAGGCTACCAAAGTATATCTTTGACATGTTTGTGCCAACTCGGACTCTGAGGAGCACAGGAACCAACTCGGACTCTGAGGCAGTGGCGGAGCTAGACTTAAAATAGGGGTAGCAAAGGGGGGTGGCAAGGGTTTATTTGGGGGGTCAATATACATGATGATCCTGATCTGCATCTGATTCTTGTCTCTTTTGAAAAAATCTTGATACATTGCTTGATATATTGCTGTCCCTATTCAAAGCAAAGCTTGGTTTGGAATCGCTGATGAATTGTACACTAATTGTACACTAATAACTGTCAGTGTTGGACAATTGTACTCGACAATCAATATGTGATTGTTGCTGTTTATTTGCAAAAATAAGTGAAATTTACAAAAATCAACATTTGCTTGTGATTGTCCCTTTGAGTAGCATTTTCTTTTCAGACATATATGATACTTGTTCTTCAAATTAATTCTACTCTGGTTTTACTGTGGTAAAAATGTAGAACAATTTGACAAAGAATTAAAAATGGAGATATCTGCTTTCGCAAATGAACTTAATTTGGTCATGATATTTTTCTCTTTCAAGAAAACTGCTGTCAGTCAGTTTCATAAGTTAATTATATAAAACCTTATGCTTCTTCTTCTTTACATCATATAATTATTTGCTTTATTTAATAACAAGTCAAAGACCAAGGCTATGTACTAGCAAATCTGATGTCAATGATGTGCCGCTGCCGTGATGTGCTGCTGCCGTGATGTGCTTTGGCTGAGCACGTAGGAGACAGTTGTGTAAGCTTAACCAATGAGAAGCCACGGCACCTGACGAAGAAGCACGCTCTGCGAAGATGCATTCACTTGTGCTGGGAAATTGGACACTTTTCCTTGGCAATGTTCATAAAATTCCGATACTTTCAGCGGGGTGGGAATGGGGGTGGCAAGGACTTTGTCTGGGGTGTCAATTGCCACCCTAACAACCCATGTGGCTCCACCACTGCTCTTAAGAGCACAGGGACTGGCCTCTTGCTGGTGCCCAGAGTCAGGACTAAACATGGGGAAGCAGCATTTCAGATTCACGCAGCTAAAAAATGGAAATCTTCCTGAGGTTGTGAGACAGACCTGACAATGTTTTTAGCTGTGCATACAACTGATTCTATTTTGTACTATTTATACCCCCCATTTCAATAAGCCCAATACTTTTACTTTTTACAAATGCAGGATAGGAGCACTGTCCATGTTAATGTTAATAAATGCCCATAAGATGAATAATGATGATAATAATGATAATAATCGCAATATGTTTTCTGTTTTTTTCCTCCAGGTTGAATGTAATCTTCAGCAAATTCGATGAAGTCCAAAGATCTGGGAATATGATCCCATCGTCAGGCTCAGGTCAGTAGGTCTGCTGCGCATCTGCTGCATGTGAGACCATGTTTCTTGTTACTCTGTAGAAATATTCATACATACACTGAGCCCCTCATTCACCCATTTTTCCTCAAAGGAAAGGAATGTTGCATCTTTTTTAGAACATGTATGTAAATAAGTTTGTTATTGTACTTCTAAGACAACACACTCAGAGCAGTTTTCTGCCTTTTAAAACAAAAGTATTGTCCATGACTTTGTTTTAGTAATTTCTCAAATGTAATGATGTTTGTTCTGCAACTGCTAAATTTCAAATTTGTAAATAAGCAGGCCAAATTATTATTAACCCCTTGTTTCACCAGATGTTTTCTACTGAATATATTATTTCTAAAACATTAAACGTAAAGTAAATAGTCTCGTTATCAGTTTTAATAGCCAAATATAATGTACAATATTTCTTCTTTAAGTACTTTTTGCTGTGGGGGTACAAAGGGCAAAACGGTTCGAAACCACAAATATGATGCTGGATGTGTGAGTGTGTGGATTAGTAAGAGACAAAATGAGAATATATGTTTTGCTGAGTGTTTTAAGAAAGTTGTCTTTATTTAACAACAGCAATATTTCTCCTTACTTCACAAATACATAGGAGAGTGGAGAGTGGACACAATATTAGCTCCACTCAGCACTGTGAAAATACTGTATGAGGCGATGTGACAGGCAAATGTGTCCCGCTTGGAAATGTGTGGTGACACGTGACGCGCTGAAGTGCTGCTGGCTGCAAAACAGGAAAACATTGACTTTGTGTTTATTTAAAGCTGGGGTACCTAATTTTCACTTTACATAATAGTATGTTTTATTTGTCCCAACAGAAAGCGTCTTGTGAAAGTAAAATGTTGTGAACAAATCAGATCATCAAAAACATCAGCAGAAACATGTTATTTTTTGCATACTTAGAAAAAGTCTTACAAGTCACTATTTGACACTCTGGGCTGAGAGGTGATTGGCAGAGTGAAGGTGGTACTTTCATTTTCACTTTTCTGTCTGAAAAAGTGGCTTCTAATGTGACAGAGGCCAAAAATACATGCATGTGAAAACTAGAAATAGAAACTGTTTTTAGTGCTTGGAACTGTTAAGATTCATTTGAGTACATGCAGAAGGTGGTGTGTAATGTTTTTGTGATATGAAAGTCAGAGTTAAATGGTTCGACATGTTGGAGTAATATGCATTGTTGATCCATCCATCCATTTTCTTCCCCTTAATCCATTTCTGGGTCGGGGGGCTGGCAATCAGAGCTGCACCCAGTACACAGAGCACCAGCCCCTCACTGATCCTCCTGCAGGTGGTGAGTCCACTGGGGCCTTGATTATTCAGCAGGGGCTTCAGGAAAAGTGGGGTTAAGTGTCTTGCCCAAGGAAGTAGGTGAAGTAGGTTTTGTGGTGGGCTCTAACCCACAACCTTCAGGCTCTAAGGCCAATGCTCTACCAACTGACAATGGCAGTCTGGTTTGTTACTAGATAAGAGGTAGTATATTTTCCAACTTCATTTATACAATAAATTTTTTTTTTACTAAACTATCTAAAATGTTTGTTTTCTTTAGGTTTCAAGTGTGAAAAGTGTGAAATCCTCAAACAGGTGCATAAAATCAGAAGATAAACAACAAATTATTTACTCACACAAAAAAATATTTGAATAAAAAGAAGATCAAGAGAAAACAGTCGAGGCCTCTAAAATAGGGCTATGTAGACCCTAACACTTTTGGGAGTCTCAATAATTCTGGGAAGGTGTTCCAGAGGCGAGGGCTATCTGCCTCAAAAGTCCCATGTCCCATTGTGGAGAGCCTGGTCTCGGGCTGAGAGTGTGGATAGCCTGGTCGAGAGCAGACAAGGTGATAAACGTGAATTTTCTGTCAACAAGCAGCGTGATGAATGCCATGTCCACACGTAGCCGGGTAATTTTAAAACCGAATATTCCCCCCCCCTCCGTTTATAACATGATTTTCAATCACATTCATAACATTCCAAACATGTGCGTCCTCTGTAGTCCTGTCCTGCGCTGGTACTTCTGTAGCAGCCCTTTTACAGTCACCGAAGAAACTCAGGGTAAAGACATGTGTTTACGCCCTGGTTTAGTCCTGGTTTAGCTCCTTTGGTTGTTTTCGAACGTGCTTTGCTGCTCTCTAATGTGGAGTGAACCGCTCGCAGCAGCGAACAGTTTTTAAGGCAGTAAAAACTGTTCGCCTTCTTCAGTGATCAGAGGTCGCACGTTTTGTTTGTTGTTGTTTTGGGGGCATACTGTGACGTGCAAAAACGCAAATGCATAAACAGAGTTTTCAAAAATCTCCACTTTGCTCTGAGTTTTTTAATATATTCGTTTATGATGCATTGTCATGTGGATGACAGGGCAAACGAAGAAAAAATTCTGTGGTTTAGCAGATACCCGGCTACGTGTGGACGGGGCCTAAGTGAAAGCTTCAGAATGTCACTGCGAAGTACACATATCTATAGAAAAAAACAGTATACCAATATTCACACTATATATATACAGGAGGTTACAAAACATTGGAATTTGGCTTTTTCCCAACCTTACATAGACTAAATCCTTCCCTTCTGGGCGAGCTTGGGTGCTGTCAAGAGAAAAGAGGGCACAAGCTGAGAGAGGTTGCTGCATGAGGCTGAGAGAGAGAAGGGAGATGGGGGGGGGGGGACCAAAACAAACGCTTTGGCCGCAGTGTGAGCACTCTTTGGATCCTTGGATCCAGACGTAAACACGACAGCAGCAAGCAGCTCCACACAATGACCGTCGGACAAGGTACGACAGACGTCCGGTTATCATTTTAGGATTACAATTGGAGCAGTGAGATTATGCATTTTCTTTGCTATACGCGTTTAAAGCTGCACTCAGTGTTTAGCAGTGTTATGTAAGGAGCCTTTTCTCTCAAATGAGCTGACGTAGGAGACTGGATCCACTGCCCAATGTTTATCATCAGAAATAGTGTGAATTCTCCTTGAATTAGAATGGGATTCACAGGATTGACGATGAAGTTCTGAATATATTATAGATCATGTGGCTTTAGAGTTTTGTTTCATGCATTGTTCAATGGCTGGTAACTGACAAAGAAGGTTGAAATTGTTGATATTTCAATGCATGACACTCACAAATACACGTGTGTGTGCGTGCATGCGTGTGTAGACAATAAATCAAATTAATTTGATGTGAAAAATGTTCAAGTTGTGAAATCAAGGTCAGGAAAACGAGCAAGTTTTGTATTTTAGGTGTCTCTTCTATCAATCCTTTGTTTTCCACTTCAGTATTTTGAGAGTAGTTTACTAAAGTAAAGTAATAGCATCCCGTGTAACATTTGTCATCATATGCTAGAAGCTTAAAAAATGTCCCTATTTATACAGATGTCATGAGCAATATGTTTCAGAAAAAAGTATATTATAGTTGACTAAAATTGGACTAAAACTAAATTAAATCAGATGACGAAAATTAGTCTAAAGACTAAGACTAAAACAAAATTAGAATTTAAATTTTAACATTGATATGCACCACTTTTACCACTAAATGTTTATGGACATCCCGACCATGTTAGATAGTTTGTATTTGTCTTCTCCATTTGACCCATCCTTCATTATACGCTTCTATCAGGAGCAGTGGTCGCCGTAGTACAGTGGCCTGGGACACATGTCCAGATGTTGAGGCTTTACCGGACTACCGAAACTGGATGATTTTTGCCTATTGTACTTTTATTGCCAATTAATTGCCATTGTCACAGAGAGCAATAGAATTGGGTTTAGAGCACGGGTCCCCAAACTTTTTCCTGTGAGGGCCACGTAACTTTTCCCTTCTTCAATGGGGGCCGGGTCAGTTTGTAACAGAAAAAGTGTGATGATTGCAGCGTTGAAATAGTTACTAACTAATAGTTAATAATGAAAAAAGTTCATAACTAAGGAACCTTTTATTGCAAAAGTCCAACTTTATTATCAAATACACATATGAGTGTGTTCACAGTAAAGTGTCAATTAAAGTATCTGGACTTTAAAAGGTTATAACTCAAAAACTAAAATTACTATCATAGTATAGAAAAAAGATTTCAAACACAGACACATTGAAAAAATAGTATGGATAAAATCAAAAGGAAAGATTAACTAATATATTTTTGGCAACATTTTAAATGACAAAATCAACCTCTGATTTGACCATTCTACTGTGACGCCAGTTACATAGAAAATAAAATGTTGTCAGTCTGAAAAAGCGGCAGATGAAATCCCACAAGATTTATATGGTTAACACAACATGAGTTCATCACTTCATTTAAAAAGGAATTGTTAAAAAAATAAAAAAATAACTGACCCTTGAAAAAGGTCATAAAGCAGGAATTGTAAACGTAGGTTGTAAGTATTGTAAACATAAAAATATATTGTATAGGAAAAAACTGTAGCGTAACCGTAAAGGAGGTATTGTAAACCTAGGTTGTAAGTATTGTAAACATGAAAAATATATTTGTAGTAAACTTAAAACTTGCATTTACGCTTCTGATTTTTCATGTTTCCCTTCATAAGTTACGTTTACGATTCACAAGTTATGTTTACGATTCACAAGCTTTGCTTACGAGTCAAAAGTTACGATTACGATACATTTTTCACCTGACCCTTTATTTAAGGGGCAGGCTCAGCGCGCCTATTGGCTGGAGGGACCGGATGTTACGTCATCACAAAAAACAACACATGCTTAAAGGGGATCTAAGATGGCAGACGGGAAATGCAGCTGAGCTGGTCGGCGCCTGTCTGCCCTAATATAATGCAAAGTTTGAGAACAATAGCAAAGTAAGATCACTACTGAAAGCTGGATTCAATCCTGGACGAAGAAACCATTGAAGATTTGCAGAGTTTCATTGACTCGCACTACGATAAGATAATAACCGAGACTCTAGACGCGGTCGTCACCAGCTTAGCTCAGCCGAGGAAGAGTCTCTTACACTGGACATTCAAGTAATGCGGTAGACAATGGACAAAATACAGAAACAACTA